ACATGTAGACTTGCAACAGGATCCTGGAGTTCACAAACAAGCACTGATAAGGTTAACAACAAGGAGAGGAATCTTAGATACCAAAGCTCGACATGATCCTCAAACAACAACCTGGCAAAGAAAGGATTGATGAGCTAATTGTATCCGGATGTGTTGGCAGGGTCAAGGTTAGCAGATATATACACGTACAGAAAGGTTAACCTGGGACATGGAAGACACAAGGGATACACAGGGAAACAGGAGGAAGAGACGGGCACAGACCTGTGGGGGATCTGCAGGGCAAAAAGAGAGAGGACCGGCAGGAGTAAGAAAGGTTCTGACAAGTCTCTCTATATTCCACCCATCGGTTCTGTTCTTTGCTCCAAATATGTTTCAGCAGGATGTTTTTTTCTCTCTTTGTTTAGAAATGTCTAAGAATCGGAACTCACACTTGGGCTGTTTTTCAGGCGTGACTTTGAAGACAGCAGGCAGAAAGGAGGCCTCTGATCTTCCTCCTAAAAGAGAGTTCCCTCTCTGCAGACGTGTGTCTGGCTGAGGTTCAGGTATCGAGCCACTCCGAGCAGTACAGTCTTAATGAAATTAATGGGATGCTTTGACTTGAGCACTTCCTCTCACACACACACACATACATACACACTCACACAACACATCCTTTTAAAATGTTCCACTGATCTGTAAATGCCCGCCCATTGATTGAATTAATTCTGATCTTGATATAACTCATTTGTATTGAACACATGCTCCTGTACTTGCTGCAAATTTCATCACGGCCTGTCCGGCTTTTAAACATTTATGCGGAGTTGGCTATACAGGTGAACGAAGAAGACAGGGTTCCCAAATGATTAAAAAAAAAGTCATTAATATTGACTCACTTACATAACTGTAGTTTTCAAAGGTAATGCTAGGTCAGAATCCCTCATCTCCTGGTTCTCAAACATATACCTTTTTTTAATTGATGATATTAAAATAAGAAAGCTTGGATAGATCTGCTTGGCGTTTATTTTAGTTTTTTGCAGTTACGTTTGCTGTTGTCCTTCTACATTTTAATATTCACTTGACTATCAAGCATGATTTTAGGCTTATATATATTTATATTTGTTACCTTATAGGTATTTTTGTTTGTGTTTTGTTGGCTGCTACTGCATACTAACCATGACTTATTTATCCCAAACAACCAGCGTTGCTGCTGCCATAAATGTAGAATGTGAAGAAAAACAATATTGTGCCTAGAGATGTTTCCCAAGAAAGATCCTCCCCTATTTTCTGGTTGTATATTAATATGGATGTACTATACTGTAGGTAGAGTTGTTGTTATCTTGCTACAGCAGTTGGGTATACAGAGTGGAAGCTGGAAATGCATTAAGATGACAATGACATTCAGTATGATTTGAATAGGCAAGCCTTCTAGGAAGACTAATATGTCCAGCCTGATTGAGTCATTGAAGTGGAGGAATATCTGCTGAAACACACACACTCACATCTGGTAGCTGCCAAGTACAACAGCCATGTTGTAGGTCACTAATTACAGTTTGATGTAAAACATAGTCCTTAGACAGCTGGTGTATCTGTCTTTGTGTTATGTATTCACTTACCCAGTCAATCATTTCAGTCCTTTATAAATAGCTGAAAAATCAATTAAGCCCACCTTTCGTCTGTTTACGCATTCAAGCAACAGCACAGAGATCATTGATCTGCACATGATTTGAACTGGATTTATTTACATCATCAATAACAGAGTAAGATAATCACAGTATTCACATAGAGAAATATTGACTTGACTTTCACATATTTCCATACTGTATGACTACACAATTCTCAATGACAGAGAGCAAATCATTTACAACACATACATTTCAAGTATATAAATTACATTAAAATGATCATAAAATATATGTAATAAATACAATTACAAATTATAAAATATAATGTGCAGTAACTGATCTGCAAATAAAAAAGGGAATATATGATGCAGATGGTAGCCACACTGACACAGAAAGACAGGGTGTTGACAGCTGCTGGTGAATCAATAGTGAACACAGCCACAATCCGCAGCTCTCCATCCCTATACTCTGGTGGCAGGTTGTTAGCACAAATACATCAGCACTAGTCACACACAGCAAATGGGCCAAGATGATGGGATTGAGTATCACAAGGAAGCAGGCCAAGCTGTCAAGGTCCAATATCGAAATGCATTACAATACGGTACACCCCCCCCTGTTTGATTGGAGGCAGCTAACATTGCATTGACAGTCCAATCTGTGGTAAATCAATTTAAGATAAAAGGTTCAATCAATCAAAGTTGCATTTAAATGAATCGGTCTCTACAGTCATTTGCATTACAGGAATGTTAGTTTTGTGTGGTGTTTTAGCATTGTACTCTCTCCAGTGCTAATAATCTGTCTGCTCAGTGTTGGATATTCCTTCTCTCAAGTACAGAAAGTGGCCGGCATGGCGGATTGATTTATTGTGTAGAGTGAAGGCTTCAAATCCAGATTGTATGACAGGCTACTACTCTCCTGGTTGAGTCTACTGAGGGAGTGCATTGAACAATTGAACCACATGAAATATTTACTCTTATTTACTCTTTTTTTGACAAGGTTAAGGTAATTCTTTTTTTAATGATTTTAAAGTAAAGTTTAGTATTGTAATTATCGTGTGCTTTTTTTCTTCTTGTGACGAAGGTAACTTTTGCACTTTATTAGCGTGATTGCACAGTACAGTTTGGCATTACATATTTGCACATAATTTATACTAATTATTGAGGTATTATTTATTAACTGATTAAACCGTATTGATTGGAATGTCGTCTGGCAGGTGCTGGTCGGGTCCTCGGCTCTGCCTGAAAAGATAGGGGAGTTAGCGAGAGCGCCGAAAGTATTTATGCTGGTGTAAGAATGACAGCGGTTGAGAATAATCAGGGTGCAAATAATATGTTGAGGGTGTATAAATGATGACGTTAAGTAGCATTAATTGTACAAGTTACCACTGTGCAAAGTTGACATATCACTCCCCCATGTCTGTTGCTGCTGATTGTGTGCACCTGATTGTGTGCACCTGGTGCCCTGTGTTGTCTCCTTCCCCTACTCAACGGTCAGTCTCACAATTGGTGTCAGAAGTGGGATTGACCAAGTAAGGAGTTGGAAATGATGAGGGGGAAAATAATCGACCAAAGAGAGGAACCGCGGCTGGGGGTGGCTATGCCGGATACTGATATGTGAACTCTCTGCCTCTGCCTCCTTGCTTGGTCGGGCCGCTCAACGGTCAGTCTCACACTTCTCAATTCGAATTTATTTTTCAAAGTTACATTATCTGTCTACAAAAACGACACACTGATTTTTTGGAAGAAAAACACACGTTGACAGGAAATTGAAGGTGTTGTACATTTGTAGATAAATAATACAAACCATTATTCTCATAAAATAGGCCTAAATAAATTAAGTACAAAATGCAGGTTTCACAAGTTGCTCGGAGGCATAATTATCCTACTGTTCCAGGGTTGTGGTAAACACTGCCTCTCAAAGTGATAATATGAAAGTGGTGGAGACAGAGAGAGCCGCCCTGGTTCAGCAGCCTGTCGCTTCATTTCCACACGTTGGCATCGCTTCAATTATAAATGAAACAGGCAGTATCAGGGTCTAAAAAGCTGCAGTTCTGGGATTTCAGATTAAACATGCTTTGTCCTACTTCCACAGATAAAGAAACAAGGTGAAAACTAAATCTGTCACAATAGTACATTAAAAAATGAAACCATTAAAGATGTTTGGTAAAGTAAATCTGGCGTCCAGAGCATGAATTCATTGATCGAATGTGATCATTTCAAACTCCTTTTTTCCACTTAGACACCAGTCTTATGCCTCTCTCGTGCCTGTTCACATTGGACAATGTTGATGTGCATTATGTGCATGAGGATCAGGAGTTGCTGGTACAGCGACAAGCGCTAAAAGCAGCGAACACAACCATCTGTGTGGGAGAACGTGATCGGGAATCAGATGGAAGACAAAAGCTTTTTCTGTGTGCCAGCAACTCAACATGTTTCCAATATTCTTTATCGAGCCAACACTGATACGTCAGCACATCTTTTGTCAATGCTCTTCTCCATCTACGCATACAAAAATGCATTCATGTGAAGTCACAAAATGAACAAGATAAAATAAACAATGCAGAATGGTATTTGTTGGAAGAGTATACAAAATAAATGAAAGGGAAAAGGAAATGAATAAATAATATGAAATTAATATGTAATTCCAAAAGCATAAAAGTCCCTTGTTTATTTAGTACACAGCTTCTCTAAATCTAAAAAAAGGGAAACATCATCCTTACCAACTCAAATGTTAACTGTTATCGGCTGTTTCCCTATGTTTAGGGATGGGAGCAATTTTTGTATACAAATGTTTTTATCGATTCCTTTAATATTTAATAATAATAATAATTCATTATATTTATTTAGCGCATTTCCAGATGCTAAAAGCGCCTCACATTAAATTCATTACATATATTAGACCATGTAACAATGAATACTGTGGACAATACCCACAGGAGCAAATGAGGGTGAATTGTTATGCCCAAGGACACAACAGCATGTTGACCCTTTATCAATTGCCCCTGACATTATTGTAATAAACAGAATTGTACCTTTAGGAGTTAGACCAGTGACACCGCTGACACTACTGGGTTGAGGGGATATGTTCCTCACACTTCGGGTATCAGAAACAAGACCTTTCTGCCCTATAAGGCACACTGTGTTGACAAATGCTCAGCATATTTCCAATTGTTCCTCCCTTTGGAAAATATATTTATATAACAACTTGCGCTGTGAATTGAAGCTTTTTATCATACCTTTGTCTCCCTGTCATTGCACCAGTCCGAGACCAACTGATGTCGTTAGGTTGTTTGCACATGTAAAGGCAATTCAAGAACCGGTTCTGTGTTCGATCACTTACCATATGTCATAAATGTGATATATTTTTGCTGAAAAATATTGTCTTTGTGTTCTGTTCCAGATCTCGGGGCTTTCAGTGGGAAAACCAGAGGTGGAGTTTCTGTGCGTGAAGGCCAAGGGGTGGTCCTCATGTGTACCCCTCCTCCTCATTCACCAGGTAAGAGGTTGACCTTCAGTCCCAGCCAGAAGAAAAACACATGCTTTTTCTCTTCTGCCTTTGTCCATAAACCCATTCATCCCAATTTCAATATCAACAAGGAGCAATGATTTGACTTATCCTGGGTCCCTTATTGATAATTTAGCATTTCATTTTCATGTTGCTCTTTTTGTATTCATCCATGTCGTTCAAATGAGAGCTATGGCCAAAACAGAGTTATGGCGACAACACAGCCAGGGCATGGATTCTCTGAAATCAAATTTGCTGGATCATTAGAAATGAAAAGAATGTTGCACAGCCAATTATTTCACATAGACAAAGCATAGTGCATCACTGTTTAATGGTATATCTAGAATATCCCACTCTGCAGTTGTCCTCTAATGTGGGCTCTTATGTGAGCCATGAATCATCCAGGCTTTCTGTTTGCATCAGCTCGTACCGCTGCACTGCACCCGCTGGAAAGTTTGCCAACAGCTCTCCAGCCCTGCTTTCTGGATGCTTTTTTTAAAACCTTAAACTCACTGACCAATATATGTGATGAATAAAGATTAATGATTCATGATTGACAGATTACAATGAAGTACAGATGGTTCTCATCCTTAAAGTTCTTCATCCATCACACCACAGGTGTTGCTTTGGCTCACAGTGGATGCCATTTTTCACACTAAACAAAAGGTCAACCCACAGTACATACAGTACATGCTTTTTACCCACATTTCAAGGTTGGAAATGTGATTGACATAAAATTGGAATCGAACACTGCAGATGATTTTGTTATTTATATATATATATATATATATATATATATATATTATGTTATGGAGCGAGATCTGTATAATGGAAATAAGGATTTTCTGTCATTTAAGGTTTGTTACAGTCTTGCTGCTGTATGCTGTAACATTGACCACGGACGGGTCAATTACATTCTGTAAGACCCTCATGTTACCTTGCTGGGATTAGATTGTGGGACTGGATCAACACAGAATATATTATATAAATAATCATTCAACTGCTAACATTGCATTTAGGAATCATACGATTCAACATCATATCATGAAATGACCTCAATATATAAAGTCTAGTGTGAGAAACTGCCTATAATGAGTCATTGAAATACTTAAATCCTTGCTTTTGCCTGGATGAAGTATAACAACATTTTGTGAGAGGTTGTCATATCACTATTTATGAACCAAAGTTAGTACACTACTACTACTACTACAAAGTGACAATTGTGGCACCTGAATCCCAGAATAACGGCCATCTAATAACATTGTGACTTTAACAAATTGCTATCAAAGGGTACTGAAGCTTTCCTATTCCTCTTAAAGTGTGGTTTTTCGATGAATAAAAAGCATTTCAGGTTTAAAAGCAGGAAAATCCAAAGTACTTGACAAGGCAACCTTGGCTAACATGGTTGTTAAGAAATAAGTGTTCGTATTTAATTTAATTTAAGTAGTTCCTCAATCAAATCTATACAAATGTGTTGGTGCTGGTTACAGTTATCCTGTCAAACAGCGGCCTAAGTAATCATACTACACTCAGAAAGTCACAGTGCTTTGTTCAGGTTTAACATATGTAGAATATTTACGTAATGCATATTGATAAATGGCAGGCATGCTCAACAGGGTGTGAGGGTTTTATTTTGTTACCTATTATTTCTCATGTATGAATATTATGCTCAAATACACAAAACAGGTACTATTATAATGTATTTGTTCAGCGTTGACATGAAAATGAAAAATGATCTCCAACAGCAAACAAATGATTTAGATAAAATGCCACAGTCATAACATTTGCCGGTGTGATGAATGCGTTGGTGAGTCCGACCGTGTCACAATGGAAATTCACATTGTAGAGGGAGCGTTAAACAATGCTTGGGTACAATTGGTTGTGGGAGGATTCAAAGACATTAAAATGCCACTTAAATTAGATAGGTCTCATGAGTGAAAATAATGTGGAATCACTGGGATGTGAACAGTGTAATATTTTCTATTTCATGGCTTTGAACGCTCGTAATCACTTTGTATGTCTTTGGTAAATAGTATTTTACTTTTATGACACTAAAATAGTTTCAATAAAACATATTGGGCCCCTGGTGTCATTGATAATTGTTATTCTCCCCAAAAAAAATCATTTATTATTCTATATACTATATTTTAACATTATCTGTTTTTGTTACAACTGTACGCCTCAATCCCTGCTTCCCTCATTAGATTGAAGGGTTCTATTATGCTCATTTTCAGCTTTCATGATTGCATGTTGTGCCTCTATTGTGACATGTTTACATGTTTTGCTTTCAAGAAGGGGGGAGTGTGTGAGAGACAAACTTCCTCCTGAGGGAACTTTAGGATTCCAGCCTTTACAGACTATTTACGTTCACAATATCCTATAGACTCTAGAGCAGGGGAGTCAAACTTCATCACGGGCCACATCAGCATTATGGCTGCACTCAAAGGGCCGGTTGGAAATGTAAGACTATATAAAAATACATATATAAAATAATGTATTATATTACATTATTTTCCTCTGCATTGGATTATTATCGGATAGGGTAATAACTTCATAATTAACTATGCCTGAAAGCAGAAGTAAAATAATTGCAAGTCTCTTCAGTGAGAATTTCACAAAATTATTAAAAAAAAAAAAGCCAAATTCTGAAGAAAAAAGTCAAATTTGAGATGCATTGTGGGACGTGCTTCTATAAAGCGGCATGTAACCGTATAATAAACGTATTATTCTTTGCAAGCTCTAGTGGGGCCACATAAAATGAAGTCACGGGCCGGATTTGGCCCCCAGGCCTTGTGTTTGACAGCCCTGCTCTAGAGGAAAGGTACACCAAAAAAAATAGGGCCTCTTTAAGCAAAGGATGCTGATTTTGCAAATTCATCTGTTGACTTACACTAAAGGTAAAAGGATCCTGAATTTGATTCAGATTTCAACCTCATTGCGTCACTAACTTTGAGCCCTCATTAAACACAGCATTAACCTGTTCAGAGCATCTTTGAAACATCAGTTAGTTATAATTGAGAATAGACATTGATAATCTAAAGAAGACATACCGTCAAATTGTCCTCCTGACCAAACCAAATCAAATCAAGTTTTATTTATATAGCACATTTATAAACGATTTTTGGTCGAGCCAAAGTGCTGTACATATAATACAATTAGCCTACAGTAGAGACACTTTACAGCAAATACAACAGCACAGATTGTTCAGAATATCAGTATGAGAAAAACGACACCCTCTGTCCTTAAACCCTCACATCGTACAAGGAAAAACTTCCAGAGAAAACCCACAGTTTAAGGGGAAAAAATGGGAGAAACCTCAGGGAGAGCAACAGAGGAGGGATCCCTCTCCCAGGACGGACAGACGTGCAATAGATGCCGTGTGTAAATCGAAGAGATAATACATTTGACAGCATATAGACCGAATGTTAGGAAATGCATGTGTCTGTAATAAGAAGATGAATCCACGAGGATGTCAGCTACAATCCTGTGGAAGCCATCAGGGAAGCAGCATGACGAGACCCAAGGCAGGACCGCAGAGACAGGTTCAGCCACGACCCGAAGTCCACGACTTAATCCAGAACTCAGGATAGAGGATCCAAGACAGATAGATTATGAATGTGAAATCAAAGAGTTGTAAAATATTGAACAGGTTAACTTGTTCCTGACTTTAAGAGTATTTTTTTATATATAAAATGATGGATGTGGCTTTGCAGAACAGACAGAAAATAAAACAGAAAGTCTACACTATCTTCATCATATTGCATTGATCCATCCATCTATTTAATTACCCACTTATATCCTATTCAGGGTAACTTAACCACTTAACCAACGATTTCTGGCTCTTTTTTTTATAGCCATCTTTCTGCAAACCCACATTTTATTTCAAACAACTTAATGTGTGTAGCAGCAAGCATTGTAAAGCAAAAACATAAGCACATATGTGCTGACTATGGATCAGCAATTCAATTTGCCTCTATAACATGCTGTTCGTCATGAATACAATAATAAAAACTCAACCTAGAGGCAGTTACCTTTTATAACTAGTCTAAAAAGTTTTGGCTATAAAGTCAGAACTATTTTCTGTCCTTTATTTTTGCTGCTTACTGAAATCATTTCACCCTGATTCTCAGTTGTTATGCCAGTTTTACCTATGCAATGGTAAAACCATTAATTAGATAACTGAGCTGCAAATACCAGGCTAATTTAAGCCCTGTATAATTGTTTTTGTTCACCTTCAGGGACCTCTTTATTTGTTTCCTTGACTTTAGCACTCATTTCATGCTGAAGAAAAGCTGATCCTTTGCAAATCCCATACTCATTACTTCTTTTAATGATTATTCATACATTTCGAGCAGTGATAAACATGGCTTTGCTGAATTATCAGCTTCTAAACATTTTCATAGTGTTTGCAGTTAAAATACAACATAGTGTATTCTACTCTAATGGATGTGAAAAACCCTAACTATACTTCATAACATGGCAATATTCAACATGCTAGATCAATCTGATATTTTTTGCAGCAAAGTATTGCCAGTTAAAGTTGAATGCTTATACAATGCATGTACTATTCTGCATTACATGTGTTTTCCACCTCTGATTAAATCCTCAAGGACGGACTAGATTGACTACTTTTGATCTCTGACTGCTCAAGTTCAGAGTTCACTCTTGCATTCTTCACACTTTATTATTCATCAGGGAGCGACTCCACTGCTTAATAAACGCAGTAAAATTGTAAAGAAGTCTATGAAATAATAACCTTACCTCAAACTACTGACCTATGTGGGGTCAGGTGATCTTAGATGCCATGAAAGGTGTATTATTGCATTTTCTAAAGTCACTAGAGATGATATGCTAAATAATTAAATGCATAGAAGACTATGAAAACACTTAATATAACCACAAATATAGGTTATTTTTCATTTCTAATCCATACGTTCTCCACTTTCTTTTACAGAGATCATGTACAGCTGGGTGTTTAATGAGTTCCCCTCGTTTGTTGCTGAGGACAGTCGGCGCTTCATCTCCCAGGACACGGGAAACCTGTACATCTCCAAGGTGCAACCCTCTGACGTGGGAAGTTACATCTGTCTGGTGAAGAACACAGTGACGAAAGCCAGAGTTCTGAGCCCTCCAACACCTCTAACACTGAAAACCGACGGTGAGGCACTCACACACCATGGGCCCTGATTTGTATAAATGCCCTAGGCGGACAAATCTAATGGATTATATTGGATAATCCACGCGGGAAATGCCGCACTCCTCTTTCTTTTCATTTAAAAGTATGATTTTGTTTTTCTATTTATTTTAAGATCCATTGCAATGCTTCCTCCCTCTAAACTTGTTTAGCGCAGATGAAAATCGAAAAGCATATTTTGTATTCGGCTGGTGCATTTTATTGTGTTAGAATGCATTAGGATAAAAAGAAAAGTGTCTGATCAGATTTATAAACGTGGGACGGTCTTCTGTATTTCGCTGAGCCTCATGTTAGTGGAGGACGTTATGAATTCAATACACACGGTAAATAGATATTGAGCAATGCTTTAACATTAGTGTGGGGAACCTTCTTCGCTCACAATGTGCTTTGGCGAAACTGCCCGTCAGGGAAATCATTTTCCAGCATAAAATTAACTGACTCAATGGCCCTTGCTGTGGATGGGATTTCACTTTTTTATACTAGCCTCTCAGGAGCCATGCCGTGGAGCTGTTTGTCGGATTCAGGTGTGGATTTCACCTACAGGCTCTCTTACATCTGACTACACAGAGAAACGTCCATCACATCACACAGGTGCCTGTCATTGTCAAGGTTTCAAAGAGCCACTGAGATTACATCCCCAGTGAAGCTGTGAAAGGGCCTCTGGAACCAGGTTTGTTCCAAATGCTGCAACACACATTCACCTCATAAGGATTACATCCCTCCTAGCACGATTCCCACTCTGTATTTGCATAACCTTGTATGAAATGGCCCTCAGACACACATAATACTGACCACATAACCGTGCTAACTTGGTTTGCGTCTCTCATGAACTGGGATGCAATACAGTCAGAACAGCATGTGGTCCGTCTGCTATCAGCATTTTAATGTTGTTAATAGCTAACACAAATGTGTTTTCTGTTCATTTTTTCAACGATAAGTGATGGAACAAGAACTTCCAGCATACATATTTGGTTTTCCCTCCATAATGTGGCCATGATGCTTGGGCTGAAGGACGCCACACTCACCTGCATCACAACAGGGCCAAATCAAATCTCTACAGCTGTAGGTCCACTATGCCAGAAAATGCCTTGGCGTCTGCAAATCTCATGATGTTCAGCACGCTTCTATGTTGGGTCTAAAATGCTGCAAATTGCATTGGCACACCTCACAGCAGACACCAAAATGGTCCTGCTCTGTGTGCACCCCTCAGACTTTGGAGTCCAACCAATCAGACAATCTGCAATCTGTTCCTCAGTAAAAGTGAGTGATTATTACACAGCAGACAGTTCAAGCTGGATGTGTGTGCGGCTCACCACTGTCAGCTCCAACCCTGACTCTCTTAATCAAAAGAAGCATCTGGGCTCCATTATGCCCTGCTGGAAGCCATTGATCGTCAATTCACAATCCACCTTGAGCCGAGTGGAGCTAAGCACCGAACTCTGCGCTAATGCACTGTTTTAAAGCAGATATACAATTCATCTCAGCAACACGCTCCCTTTGATGTATCTGCTTTGGGTGGATAGAAGGAGGTGCATAATATTCCTGTGGATATCAGTGACTTTGAAATGGCTCTGAATCAGAAAAAATGAAATGAAATTGCTGTGTATGAAATGGCATAAATAATCAGATATGTTCTATCATCCATCGGTTCAAATAATGATCTTTTAATTAAAGGAATAAAACGGCTGGTAGAGTTGAATCATTCAGGAGTGGTTTTCACTGTTAACATTATGTTTGCCTGCAGTTTCACTCATAGTGACGTTGCTCACATACGCTATTGTTTTAAATACATGATTATAAAATGGTCACTATTTCTCATTATAAGACTGTTAAGAAGAGACAATGCTTTTGCTGGCAATTGTTTATTAAACAAATATTTGAATGCAAACTTAATTAGGGCTTTGGGATAATGCAATATGATATTTATAATCTGTTAATGGAATAATAAAGTGATGGAATATATAGAGATATTTACGCCATCTATAATGTATAGCTGAACATATATATTAGTTTATTCTCTATAATTGGATTTAGGGTTTCATATTCATTTTGCATTCCATTTAATTGACATAGGATACAAAAAAGGCTTAGTGTACTAAATTAATATTTATATAATCAGGCATGCTATTTTCAGATGTGTATGTTATAGAGACATTACATTAAACCATATCATCATAGAAGATTTTGAACACTGTAAATGTAAATGAATTTGATTGACAGGTCATTTAATACATGGAGTAAACACCACTAAATCTGAGTTACATAAGGACTGTTTTTGAAGAAGTAAACAATATGAATCATCCATCTATGACTACAATTCTTAATTCATTGTGTGTGTGAATATATCTCATTGATTTTGGAAAAAACATGCAGGTGGGTTTTGCTCCTTGTTGGTACACACACAGATCAATGGTTAAGCTTCCAATTGGACTGCAGTACTCGTAGTGTTATTGTTGTCATGAGATATTTTCTCTCTCCACACTGACGGAGAAATCAGTGGAACATAATATTTACAGACACATGTCATCTCCATATGGGCATGTTTTCAGACTATAAATTGTTATTGAAGAAATAGGCCCATAGCCATATTGGATGTCAGCATGATTATTTACTCACCAACATATTCTTAGTGTTGTAGTCAAAACATCTCATTGTCCTTTACCCTGAGTGTTCACACTCTGCTATCCTCAGAGCACCAGCTGTGAATACAAAACTGTTATGGTAAAGAACGGCTTAATGGGTTGTGTGCATTGAAAAGATGCAGCAACTCCAAACACGACATGTTACCTAGATTAACCCCAAGGAATCTAATCATCACAAATCGAATCAGCAAAAATCAATAAAAATCAAAAATCACATTATTAGAGATTGACTGGTTTATCACAACCTTCTGTGTAATGTGAATCATGTTCCTGGTATGAAACATGGCTGCATTGCTGTTGCCGTGCAGATGGAGGATCTCTGCCTTTAGGGCCCCATTGAGTACATCAACATGGTCGTGACAATCCAATTACAAAGAGGAAACCAGTCCAGCTGTCCAGCAACAAGCTGCACCAATTCAAATGTATGGAGATGGAAAATTAAAACAAAGTTGTTATTTACCCATTACAAGTCTACTCTTGGACAGGGAGATCTGATTTAAAGGAACATTATGCAGTAAACGGCATGTTTGTGTATTAGCACTCCTTCAGTTTCCGATTGCGGTACACACCACTGTTCTGAAGAAATGACAGCACGACACTGTTGTTGTTTTTTTCAAATACTGTATAAAGTATTTTGAAAAGCAAACTCTACTATTTCACAATTAGACAGTTTACACATCCAAAAAACACAAATGTGTAGAAGCGGGAGGGCAGAAAGCATAGCTTATACAGAAGTAGCCCTCCCGTTAGTCATCCTGTTGCAGGATAAAGTAAAACAAATGATTTACTCACACAGATAAACACAATTCTATATATATACATATAGACAATGATAGGCTTCACAAAGACAATCATAGAGATACAGTATGTGCATGTGGACGTTCAAATTGAAATAAGCATAATTAACACCAACTCATATTAAAACCGGTTAAGAATTCAGGTTCATTTAAATTCACCCTCATTATATCAAAGAGTATGATTGCATTTATTATGAATAATGAAAAGCAAGTAAACATTTTTCGAAAACAGCCTGGCTTTCTTAAAAAGTTTCAAAAGTTATCTGCGTCTCAGGAAATGGCCTGAGACTATTTCAGAGACTCATAAAAACAAACTTTTCCCATTCTATAACCTTGCTGCCGCAGGAAATCTTTAAAAAAAAGGCATTTTACTCTGTTTTGATCACTTTGCAGAACAACAAAGCAATATAAAAATGTAATTTCCATGTGATTAATAAATTATACTGGAACATAAAATGTGCTGTTAATGTTTTAGCTCAGCAGGCCATGGCAATATTTATTTCGATCCTGTCAGGTCCAGCCACTGACACTGAATATGATATTGAATATACTATGGCATGAGCCTGTGAAATATTGCAAATTCATTATATGGGAAGGGCTTCTTTGGAGCTATAAATGTTGAGAATGAGATTGAAATTGAAAAGTTATTTGGAACAAATATCATAAAACTCTTTTCCCATACAAAGTGGGCCACAACTCAATACCCCCACTCCTTCTTTCCTGCTGTCACATAAAAGGTGGCAGGTATACGTAGGGGCAGTAATTATAGTTTCTCAAATGTCATGCTGGTCATTTGTCTTGCTGATCATGTGCGTTTCGGTGCATGTGCAGGTCCTGCAGGTCTCCCTTGAAAAAGAGATATATGATCTCAATGGGACCAATCTGGTTAAATAAAGGTTTGAAATGAAATGAAAATGTGTCGGGCACTGCTAATGCTCTGATATGTTTTGTTGTGAATTCAGGAAGGTGCTGGGGTTAGCAGTTTGTTCACCAGTCGTGCTCACATGCAGTAATGGTGTGTACATTTAAAATGCCTCTGTAAAGAGTAAAATGCTCATGTAATATTCATAAGGCAAACTCCAATTTAATAAGAGCGATAGTAGTAATTACATCCCGGATGAGGGTATTTTATTTTGTTACTCCAAATTTGCTCAATGCCATCTGACTTGTCCTGAATGGATATTAATAGCCGCCTCAACATACAGAAGAATAAACAAAGAAAGCGTGTCCTCTAGCTGTGACTTAGAGCCGAGGTGTTAGTCATAGTGGCTAAGCAACACTGATAACACATTATCACTTGTGTCCTTCTCAATGTGTTTGGGAACTGTGGAGTGACTCACTCATTTATGAGGACAATACACTCCTTTTCTCTGTTGTCTGGGGAAATGTCTGTTAGTTCAACATCCTTATGGTTTGTTTATGAGGCTTGTTTATCCACCATTTCTTAGCTACACAGAGTATGGCTGACATGACTGCATTTTCTGAAAGTGCTTTGCAACAATTCAACATGATAATTCATCCTCATTCAACTGTATCATATTGTGATAAAATATATTATTTAATTAATGAGATATTGTAACACGCACCGATAATTTCACTTGAAACCTTTGTGTGAATTTTCAGTACTGTTTTATTTGCCATGGTGTATACAAAAACAGGCTTTACAAAATGGCCTACAGCAAAGATGTTGACCCTATTAACCAGCTCAACTAAACAATACGATACTAGAAAACGTTATATTTTTCTTGCATCACAGCAGCTCCATTTGTAACATCAAACAAGTACAAATATTAAGACACGATACAAGGAAACAAACATTTAAGATAACATTACCACCACAGAAGACAACATGTTCAAGATCCTCCAACGTACATTTGACCTGGGATTTAACTTTCATTTTGGCATTGACTGAAAGGAGTGCTTCAGTCCAACCTTTTTAAATTGTGGGACCCCGTTCCTCCGATTTAATGGTAATAAGTTATACAGTATTCACTGTTCAGGAGATGGTTGAGGCCAGAGAAAATGTTGTTGGACAGCCTAAATACTGTATGGTATTATGGTAGGTTAATTCCTAGAGTTTCTCATAAGGGATTGCAGATTTTCAATTAGTGGAGCAGTTTTGACACTTGCATGTAATATTGCAATACCTATATTCAAATGTCATGTACAGTACAAGCTTTATTCCAACATGCTTCTCTGTATGATTATTCCGTCGCTCTGTATTTGACATAAACCAAAATGACTAATGCTATTAATAGTCAGAGTATGAACTAACTGTGGGTAGTTACATACTACAGATGGTGTTCATTATGTCCAGTGGCATGCTGCGGCGTCATTCAAAGAACAATTGGCCTCTGAAAGGCCTGGAACCCTCACGATATTTTGATCTGCTGCTTCATTCTTTTTTCTATAAGAGTTGCATTCTCATAAAACAGGTACAGAGGCAATAGTAAGAGAGCCTCCGTATTATTTTGAAATCACTGTGACCCGGCTATGTGCACCACACTGCAAGAAAGGACCAAAATGATGGGAAATAGGCGGTGGGGGTTGGGGGATAAGTAGCCGTTGCAATCTGCCTGGTTCTAATGTCTGCAATTCCTCTTTCTTAACCTTTTCCAGGTGTCATGGGCGAATATGAGCCCAAAATCGAGGTGCATTTCCCAACATCTGTTCTGGCTGCCAAAGGACTCACTGTCAGACTGGAGTGCTTCGCTCTGGGGAAGTAAGTAAACAAGGCCACATTGCACAAATATAGGTAGTTGTTTATTACTGCGGCATCATACTAATCACCAGCAACAGTAAACCACTGCCCGCTCTGTTGCTGAGAGATCCTTCAGATCCTCGTGTGCTTTCCCTCTTCTTTAAATTACATTATGCCATTGCCTGAAAGGGAAGCAGGCATATCTTGTCTTCAGGCGGGATGTTAAGTGAGTGTAGACAAGTGCAGCATCGTAGCTCGGCTGTTAGATTGCATGTTAGTGCATGGAGGAGGGGAGGGAGACTGAATAGGGAATTCAGCCTTAGGGACCCATGTGTTCTTATAATTGAGAGCCCAAATGTATCTGTGTATCCTGGGTGCTTTCAGAGTCTTTCATGAAAGTAGAAAGCCAGGGTTACATCTTTGGAAAAGATGAAATTGGTAATAGTTGTCTGCCAGGAGGGAAAACACACACAGAGACTTCAATCCACTTACCACAGTTACTAAACTTAGCATTGCAGGCTCTATATTTAACAAACTGTCTCTTTTCAAATTGAAATAAATATGTTTATTTTCTCCGAAGCAAGGTTGAAGTTGTGTGTCACATAACAAGAAATATGTTTACTTGAGGAACAAAATCATGTGTCATCCCCACTCCATGTTGTTTGTAATTATTAGTCAAATGAATTATTCATTGCTGACTCATATCTTAAGTGCAAACAGTCTCTAATGTACAAATGACTAAGGGGGGCCTGATAATAGTTTTCTTTGATTTCAATTAAGCATACACATTATGGTAAGTCATTTCCTAAATATATAGACACTGCATTATAATCTTGCACCGTTTTTGTTTTCCCTATCAAGCTAAGCAAGCGTTTTTTGGATGCTTTTTGAACACCCAAACAGAGCCAGTCCTTGCTCTGTACTTTCTTCAATGAAGTCAATCCTTTCAGTCAGACAGTGATAGCAGTCACTTACCCCTTCATAAAGAGATGAATGATTTATCAATGCACCTATTAAGAAACGCCGGGCTCTAAATAGCCCTGAAAATGAAGTTAAAATGGGTTTTGTTCTCCTGTTGTTCAATATGGCACTACTATCTAAGAAAGGGCAGAGGAGTTATTTGTGTGTGAATGCAGAAGCTCCATGATATGATTGCCTGGCGTGATATTTACCAGTTACAGTACTTTGTAGGCCACAGTCAAGGGCATAGAGAACAATGGGACAATAACAATGAAAGGGATAGCAGTAAATAATAGTCCAATGCTTTCGCTAGTCACTATGTAATGTTGTAGTCTCTAGTATTTTCTGCAAGACCTATTTTTATTCATGATTCTGTAGGTTTGTAAAAGTGGATTCTCTTTAATGATTGTTCTATAATTGCCAAGAACGGCGTTGCTTGTGTTTCAAATGACCTTATATGAAAAGAGGCAGCATTAGCACTTTTTTAATAGACCGATCACATTTGTAATGTGTGTATTAGCTATTGAAAACATGTGCTGATGTGAAACAGCTAGCCAGCCATTTTAAGATGATGATATAATTCATATAGTTTTTCAAACAAAACAAATTCAATTCAAAACTTCGTTGTCTGACTTACAGGATACTCTGGAAAGTGCTGTGCTGTAAGCTGCATTTGTTTTATGGGAAATTGGAGTATGTAGTTCAAAAGGCATTTCACTTTTGATGTGCTACACATTCGCCCACTCAATTTCACTTAAAATATAATATGTGACATGTGGTGGGTGCTTTCATCCAAATTGCCCTAGAGTGGTGAATATACTTTTAGTTTCAGAAAGGGAATCAGACTCTTGAAACCCTTGCAGTTACATCCCTCTTTGAACTATACAGGGCCACAAAGACCAGATTGTCAGCAGCAGCAGAAAGAGCCTCTTAATGAAAATACATTTTATTCTCTTGTTAATGTCTTTGAAAGATCATACAAGTACAAACCAAGGGTTTGGGGGACCAAAACCTTAAGATTTCAGAAAATTAACTAATTGGTGGAATAATATCTATGTCTTAATGATCTGAAGCAAACCAGTTCTCCACTAAAGTTTGGTATTGGATTTAATTGTCGACCTTTAAATAGAACAAGTCCAGATGAGGGCGCAGCAATTGTGAGGAATTCTAATTAAGACGTAATCTCCAGAGCCTGCCTATGGGCACTTTGTTGAATGGAAAACGATAACACCTTACATAAACTCCGGTGTGTAACACATTTTGCGAGTGTGAAAAACTCAGTTTGCACACTTCTGATAAAATGGACATCAGCTTCGTAGTTGTGGAGTTACTGCCCACAGATTCATATGGAAGACATTGACAGGCAGAGTTTCTTTATCTGAGAGTGAGCTTATTCCCTCCTGCCCGCCCCCATTCCTGTGGACATGTACAGGCGCTCATTATTCAGCCTCCAAAGAGAAATCCGACCACGGACTCAGGAAGATTCACCCTCATGTTCCAGCCCCTGGAGGTTTCTATAGATTTACTCTGTTCTCTGGCTCGTCCAAAGGTCTCCCGCACATTTCTCCATCAGTAATGTCTAAGGAAGGGCTTCGACACAACTGCATGCTGTATTCATGCGCTCATTCAATCTTTTTTTGTCTATCGTTAGCATGTGCTTATGTTGTTCCTACAGCCCACAGCCATATTGGAATGAAAATGCCAAGTACTAACAAATGGCCCATGTAAAAAAAAAAAGATATTTGATTTCACCTCAGGCCCCACATGTTGCCCCTGGTAACAAATGTGTATGGGACGATGGGTGCTGTTGATTCACCACCCTTTTAAAATGTATAGCTTTCTGTACTGCAGACGAGGAGCTACTAGTCTGTATGATGTAACATATTTGTAAAGCCCCCTGAGGCTAATTGGTAATTTCTGATATTAGGCTATATGAATAGAACACGTTTTGATTTGGCCAGTGATGACAGCGACTTACTTTTCCTACATTATTCGAATAGATTGATGTATGACTAGAATTAATGTTACATAAATTCCAACTTAAGTGACAATTCCGTATACATATTTTAGAGTTGTTATTCATGGTCAAGCACTCTAACACAGGGGTTCCCAACCCCCGGTCCGGAGGTGTTACTGCCGGGCCGCGAAATAGCTGTGAGTTTATCGTAATATTTGCAGAATTATACATATATACAAATATGTTATCATATTTTTTTTAATTTTCGTACCTATACCAGTGATATTATTTCATCCAGTAGCCTAGTTAATCTTTCACCAGAAAACCGTTGAAAATGGCTTTTATGATGTTCCGAGGGATTCGGCGGCTCAGCCTGGTCTCAGCCTCTTGTGCGCACGAGAAAGTTCCGGTGCGCCAAGTAGGAAGAGGAGCGCACAGGAGACACCCGTTTAATTGCAGACTGTTATGTTTATGTGGGAAATGGCAGTGCATACTTGAGATATATTTCAAACTCGGACTTCATTTTAAGGATATGTCGGCCAGGGGTGTAGAGCTATTTGTTTAAGCACCGGATTGGCAAAACAGGAGAGTAAACCAGTCTGCCTTGATCTGTGAATTCTCACGGTATCTGCTGCACACAGCTGTTTTATAGAAGGCAAACCTCCTTCACTTCGTGAAATGGCTGCAGCATCAGGAGGCAGCGGGACGTATACTCCGCCTCTGAGAAGTGTAGCACCAGCGCGCCGAGAGCTGTGCCTTTTTACGCACCGCCTTCACTGTGTTTAACTTCATCAAAACAGTTTAAGAGTGACTGCAGGCTGCTACGTGTTAACCACACACACACCTCTACACACATCGAACTGCCCGATTACTTCCCCTTTTATTAGTTTTATGAAGGAGATGTCCAGTCATCAAGGTGCATGGTGTGTGTGTGTGTGTGTGTGTGTGTGTGTGTGTGTGTGTGTGTTTGTTTGTGTGTGTGTGTGTGTGTGTGTGTGTGTGTGTGTGTGTGTGTGTGTGTGTGTGTGTGTGTGTGTGTGTGTGTGTGTGTGTGTGTGTGTGTGTGTGTGTGGGTGTGTGTGTGTTCGGTGTGTTTGTGTCTGTCCGACACCGGAATTTGTTTTCAAATGACCATGAACAGTAATTTACACACATCTGACTAACTCCATAGCCTATATGCGGGTGTTCCCAAAATAAATTAGTTTAATCTTAATCTCGATGTAGTGCTAAATGCTGTCGTGCACCGGAACGAACGTCACTGTCATAATATCTTCTGAAAACAAATGCCAGTGTCACACAGACACACACGCACGCACGCACGTACTCTCTCACACACACACACACACACACACACACACACACACACACACACACACACACACACACACACACACACACACACACACACACACACACACACACACACACACACACACACACACACACACACACACACACACACACACACACACACAGGCGACCGGACATCTCCTTCATAATGCGCCTTCTCCTCGTATTCCCAGCATTCACTGGATTATCCGTAAATCATACAAACAAAACCAAAACGTTGATTTATCTGTTTTCCCGTTTTGGTTTAATAACTGAATAACGTCGGTTTTTTGGTTTTCCGTTTTTCAGAAAAAACAAAAAACAACACCGGTTCTTTTTTAAACGTTGTTAATATGTTTTGGATGCATATTGTTCTAGTATTTGTTCAGGCTGTTACAATTAGCCTCTGTTGCTACCTGCTGGTGGTGAGTAAATATTAAAATCAGTTCAAATTGACAACCGGTCCGCGATATTTTTTTAATGTATCTGCCGGTCCTTGGCACAATAAAGGTTGGGAACCCCTGCTCTAATACACAAATATGAATAATTGATACATTTATTTAATCAACAGATCTCCTCAAATAATTATGCAATGTTTACCAGAGATGTGCTCATTATTTTCTCAGAAATAAGTCATTCAGCATGAGTTTAACAATAAAAAAAGGACTTATTTACAAAAGAGATGTTAGCGGACAGAGACCAAAGTGACCAAATAGTGACTGACATAGGGCAGCCTTTTTTATTTTTGACTAGGGCATCATATTGTCATTATCAAGTGTATCAAATTACCACTTGCTTTACTTGTCAAACTTTGGATCAAGACATAGTATTTTAGTGATCACACTTTATCCCTAAATCCATGTGCAGAAATGTGAGGCCCTAATAACTGAAGAAATCCCTTTTTTAAAAGTGTAAGTGATGTCAGGACACCTACATGCATGCATTACAGTAATGAGCTGGCTATTAAAAAAAACGAAATAAAATATAAAGTCTACACAAAAAAATGTACACAAAACTCCTGCCTAATGTGAAAGAATGTGTGTGTGTGAAGTAACGCGGAGTATAATATAAAACACACTCTGAATCCTTATTTCAGCGCACTGCAGCCAAGAGCTCTTCAATGTCCTTGTGAATTTAGAGCAGATAAAAAAGCTCAGGGATGTAACATTTCCATCTTGGCTAAATGATTGATGGGTTCAATGGAGGTTTGTATGGTGTCACATTTCCATCTTTCAGACACCTGTCAAATCTAGTTGTCATACAAGAGCACTACCGATACCGAGCGCCTAGTCAGACGTTCTGTCTCCGCGCGTGCAAGTCATCTATCATACGGATCTATAGGGCAACCCATGAATAAACAGGAATGAATGACATTGCCTGAACACTAATCATAAAAACCTTGTTGGCAGTTAATGGCCTGATTTGAATCTTGTCCCTCTGAAACCCCGGGGTATAATGTGTGGGTCATTTGGTATAGCAAATATATCACAAGTGGTCAAAAGGTTAGTGATTCACACTTAAATACTCATCATGACGTGTCAACACGTAATTACAAATGAAGGACTTATGGAAACTAGGTCATTGGCGTAGTATGTTACAGTTAGATGTTATTATAGTATAGTAATTTCATTATTGAATATCCGGATGGTTATTTTTTTCAAATAATCATAAAGATAAAATGTGACAATATCGACAACAATATCCAAAAGGCCACAGGCATGTCTTGAAATGACATTAGGTTAGCATTAAACTTGAGTTAAGTCTATAATAGCTCACACAACCAATAAGAAAATGACTGAGGTGCAATTTGTTTTCATTTTATTTGTCCTTTGTTATATTCTCACATAGATGCAGACGAGAGAGAATCTAAACATAGGGAATCTATAGGAAATTGCATTAAGATGAGGGTACATTAACTATTAGTTTAATTATTGTTTCAATGTCATTGAGAGATGATGGATTCATCACGATGTTTATATGTATCTATTGTAATACAATCATTGCAGTTCACATCCTACTGTGTGTAAATACTTCCTTTATGACTCTGTAGCATTGACTTTATATTTCCACTCTTCTTTCCTCACAGTCCTGTGCCAACAATCACATGGAGGAAGATTAATGGCAACATCCCAAAAAAAGCCAGACTCCGGAAGTCCCAGGCTGTGCTGGAGATTCCCAACATTCAACTGGAGGACTCGGGAACCTACGAATGTAAAGCTGAGAATCCAAGAGGAGGCACTGCATTCAAAGGACATCTACAGGTCTACAGTGAGTCGTCTTTTACTTTCCATTAGCCATCAGACATCTTACAAGAGCAAGTGTTGTTTTCTGGAATATTGGTCTGAATAGAGCAGTCTAAAGTAGCAATTTGACATAAGCTGTGTCATTCAAGCTGCTGAGTTTTCAGGATTCAATTTCTGGCAGATACTGTCAAGGAGAGACTCTGAGGCATGAACTCAATTGCACGACACAGATAGTGTTCTCAAAAAATAAAGACTTTACTGGAATTTAGCACAGTAATCAAAATAAGGAAAACAAATATACTCTTTCGAGGAAAACTAGCAAGTGATCAATGAGGTAGATCCGTGGGAAGTCCGTGAGGTAATCAGGAACGTGGGTCATAGTAAGACAACGAACTGACAATGAACAGGAGGAAGCTACCACAATATATACACAGGTAAAGGGGACACAGGTGGAAACAATCAGGGCGGGGAAAACAATCAAGGACGCAGGAGACAGAAGGGGGCGGGGAGCGTGGAGGCCTGAAATGAGAGGGATGATTAATTAAGGGAATAAACATAAAGCACAGGGCAAAGGGACATGACAAAACTAACATAAAGAATACACTTTCACTATTAGTTTCCTAGACATGACAGATACCCCATTAACAAGTGTTCATCACTTCAACCAATGAGCTGTTTCTTTGAGTTTGGGTCGATATTTTTTCAAGCTGACGGGTGTTTTTTTTCTTGAAATGTTCAAAATGATCTGAACCTCTCTACAAGTTGTTTTAATAGAGTGTTGTTCTCTGTATTTTCTTCATTTATAAGATCAAAATATATACAATTGTTCTCTAGTACTTACATCCTTGCTGTTGGACATTGATTTCCAAAATGCGTGTTTGTAATTATTTTGTAGCTACAAATTATTTTTCGAGTTAACAGATTAGACTAATTTCTTTAAATTAAATGATACATTCACAATACAATCATTAAAGATTTGGATTATCAATCATTCGGACAAAACAATCTTGACCAATCCACTTATATTGTATCTTACTCATGTTAAAGTAGACATTTAAATTATTAATATTACAAAGTATAAGCTTATCAATTAAAAACATTGAGTTTTGTACAATTATAAGATTTTAAATTCAGGAGAGAATTCCCTTAAAGAACAGTTTTTCGTGTTCTAACCACCTTACAATTTATAAAGTGTGCTGAGTTACTTCCTTTGCACACCATGGTAGACTTATACATGAGGGTGCATGTCCACCATTCCTCTCTTCCTGTGCCGTGTGCAAAAGTCCCAAGATAATGGACTGCCTGAGCCTCTGTGGGACACACAGCCAAGGCCCTGCACTTCTTGGCTCCCTCCATTCATCACAAGGAGAATAGGGAGCTAATTTGTAGCAGCCTCACACTGAATGTAATTTACACAGGTCCTCTGGAAGCTTCAACTCGCATTGTGATCAAGACCTTGACCATAACCATTTAATCAAACCACACAAACACATTCTACCAAAGGCACCGTATGCAAAGAATAGCAAAGAACGTGCTTGGCATGTTCCTGCAGGAGAAGCAGCTCAGTGGTGGGGTTTCCTCCTTTCTACACACACTGTAAACACACCACAATGCAATATATATCATTGGATACAGAAAGATGTTTGTATTAATATCTGGAAACATCGTTCACATTCAGTCTTTATAAATTGGTTGTTTAGTTCTGGTTGCATATGTTATTTTAATAATGTATACACACATTTATAAAACTATTTTTTTCGTATTACTGCTATTACAGATTCACTTCACAAAATACAACAATTGATGTCCCCGTATTACTGCTATTACAGATTCACTTCACAAAATACAACAATTGATGTCCCTGTATGCATTTGTAAGTGCCTTACTTGAACGTGAAAACACGGAGCAAAAAGTATATGGTAAAGGAGATTAAGATAAGAGAGGAAAAAGGCTTGGGTTAGGGATTAACATTTCTTTCCCTACACAAGACCGCAAAAATGATCCTTCCCCGGGTAAAAGGTTCTTATAAATGTTATATTTGTGTAAATGTACTGGAATGGAAGAATGTGCAACCATATGCAGCATAGGCCCCAGTAGATGGAAAAAGAAGATGAAAAGAAAGTACAAGCAGCCTATACAGCACGCTGCTCAGATCTTGAATTGCGACAGAGTCTTTGTAGAATGTGAAGTGGAGGGAAAAAAAGGAAAAGAAAAGAAGGTTAAGGGTTCCCCGGGTAACACAGTTGCTGAGTTTGTCTATGGCATGGAGCAGCCATTCAGAGGGAGAAGAAAAAAGAACAAGCTCACGTGTCTAACAAACGTCGCCCTGGATATTTTCTTTCTTTAATAAATGCCCATAAGGCAGTACTGTAGTGTCCAATGTGTATGGGCTTTGAAAAATATCCTATATATACAAAAACTCAGCAACATGTATTTTTGGAGCATAAGTGAGAACGCCTCAATTTATTTCCCATAACAGCCTGCCCCACTTCCCTTAAGACATTACCAATAAAAAGCTGTTCAATCCCATGAAAAAGGAAATGTCTATCTCAGCATAATGGCAACATAAAAAAACAGAGACAAGGGGAAAAGTGGAAAAAATATAATATGTCAAAACTAAAATCGTATCTTAATCGATGGGCAATATATAAATAAATTAACAACAAGACAACTTCTAAAGTCTCTAATAACTACAGTGACAATAAGTACCATACATAGTCAGACATTAGATACAGCTCAACAATAAAAGCAGTATCATAGAGAGAGTGTATACAGATACGAAAATACAAATGAACAAACAATTCCTCATTAATGATCATTATACTCAAATATTTGGGAGCAAAACATATCCAATTTGGAGAGGGGCTTTTGTTCTCTGCTGCCAGGTATTTCTTTAAACTATTTTAATACATTTTAAATGTGCGGTAGCAAAACATCCCATATTTTAAATAATCTGAACATCACAGTATGTAGCTTGTATCTGTTTTTGATACAGGACGTGAAAAACAACCTCATGATGTATGCCTTGTATGGGAATGTTCTATTAATATCACGAAGAAAATAAGAAAATTTGATCAAATATATTGCATGTGTTGCTCCTCTCAAAAAGCATTTGTGTGGTATGTGGTGCTTGTTGTTTTTACTGCCGTACACCAGCCCTTTAGTTCTCCACACCACTTAACACCTTTCGGCACCTTTATTTGATGTCTGGCTGTGAGCCAGCACCTCATTAGAAAAGGTTGGGCATTTTCACTCAGTTCTTCAAGGTTTAAATCCAGAACAGAGGACATGAAAAGGAGATGCCTTATTACTGGATTCATGTCTTGTATATAAGGTAAATCTGTTAGATGCAGTGCAAAAGTACAGAAGAAATCAAAGTTATTTTGCCTAAGGATTTTTTTTATAAAGAACAACTAAAACAAATATGCAATATGAAAAGGCATCAGATAAAACCGAGGCTTAAACAAACTATGGCTTATTTTGGGACTTTGCTACTAAAGGATTACAACTGCAATAAATGTATACTTTCATGGATAGATTATTTACCAGGCCTGACAGACGCAGAGCCATTGGCCTTCGCTTGGAAAATGTCAATTAAAGTACATTGTCACTCAGTTCTTCAAGGTCTAAATCCAGAACAGAGGACATGAAAAGAAGATGCCTTATTACTGGATTCATGTGGATGTGGATTCACCTACCAACAAAAAAGAGACTCATAATAAAAACATACATATTTAAAAATACACTCAAAACAACTATGGAGACATAAAAAAACTACAAAGACACACAAAGCCACCACAGACACTCAAAGCAACTACATAGAAACACAAAACAACTGCGGACATAAAACAACTACAAAGACACACAAAATGACCACAAACAGACACACAATAACCTCAAAGGTACATAATATTATTTATAATTATTACAATAAGGCTAAAGACTTTTCTTTTTGCTGTTGCTTTCAATTTAATCCAAACAATTCATTTCTAAAATTGCACTGTAATTATTTTTTTTTTTTTATATATCTATTAGCTTGTGTTATTTTGTGTAACGCTTTTAATGATTGTTTTGAAATGTTTCTGAATGCCATTTTATAACGCCTACACTATATCTTAATGCTCTTAATGGTTTTCATTTTTTGTAAAGCACTTTGAATTGTCTTTTGTTAAAAGGTTCTATATACATGAACTTGCCTTGCCAAAGAGAGGCGAAAAAATGAACACAAAATAGCACGAGCACTACATTGAGACACACATTTACTACAAAGGGACACATGATTTCCTCAAGGCTCACATACTGTAATTACCAGAAAGATACAAAAGACACTTGAAAAGAGATGAAAAAAAATACTAAGAGACACACTATCACCCCAAAAAGTCTTAAAGGTCCCATGTCATGCTTTTCTGGTTATTACCCGTCCCCTTGTGTGTTACAGTATGAAGGTTTTTCTGCATGTAAACGGTCTGCAGAGTCACAAACCCTCAAAGTACACCCTGTAGCGAGTAAAACTCTAACACAGAAAATACCTATCTGCCCCAGAACGCCTCGTTGGAGATTTCTCTTTTTCCATTTGTTTTTTCCTGGAACCAAAATGGACCAATCCGCGGAGCTCCTCACACACCAGGACCTTTAGCGTACATTTTAAACTAACAGGGAGTCCCATTGACTTGCATAGAGCTCCCTGGTTGGTAATAGACGAGTTGGGATCGCGGAGAAATGCTCTCCGCGATCCATTCTCACAGCGTTTATAAACGTTGTTCTTACTCAATGTCAAGCCACACTTATTGTTTTTACTTCGGCTGTGAGTGTTTGTGTGTGCCCAGGATGAGTTTTGCTTGTTCTCGCTGTATCGCCGACCCGGAAACCACACCAGTAAGCCAGATCATTGAGCCGAGAGCCTCGCAACGTCCCGACCAATCAGAGTACACTGGGCTCACAGGGAGGGGGGGGCCGGAGCTCCAACAAGCCGTTTAGGACATACACGTACTTTACAGAGATGCTGTATGAGAAACCAAATTGAGT